CACCTCTCTCATGCAAAAATATATAAGTAAAACTTTCAGAAAAGATCATGGATGTTAAATCACACATTGTACAGAACGCCACCACTTTCAGCCCTTCACTGTATCAGCTATTTAAAAATATTGACTTAGATTTGGGTGAAAGCAACACTGTGCAAATGTTAGCATATCTAGGATCATGTCTGATGTTACCAGCAACAGGAAAATATAATCTTACTGGATGAGTTCTGTCGTTTTGTTTTGTTTTTTTTTTAGAAATAAGAATGACTCTGCTTTCTACTGTAGAAAGCAATTATAAGAGATCTGAACAAATTAAAAGCCCTGTTCAAATTTCTTCCCCCAAAGGAGACACTATCAGTTAACTGACACTATTGATTAACTGTAAGGAAGAGAAGTGAATGTGTGTGTGTGAGTGTGTGTGTGTAAAATATAAGTTAAATTTGTAGTTTATATATACTTGTGCATATGTGTATACTTATGTTCATACATTCACACTTATATCTAACGCTCATATAGTATTTTACAAAGTGTTTTCACACCCATTATGTTTTTAAATCTATACAACAACCCTATGAATCATGTATTATCAGTATGTTTCAAATAAATGACCCGGAAGTTAGTCAACTTACTGAAGATCTCACAGCTGCAAGCAAAGAGCTGGGACCATTGTAACTCAGGTCTAACTCCAGTGACTTTCTAAGAAAATTATTACTAAAACCTTGCTTTTTGAACTCAAAGTCAGGACACTTGGTTTTAGACTGGTATATAATATTTGGAACTGGAAGTATACCAGAAATTCTGGAACACATTGTTACTGCAATTACACCCGAGCTGCCTTAATTTTTAAATTTTATGAGTGTTCTTTTTATGGTTCTTTCAATAAATCTTAAAGATACACAAAGAAGAAAGAGGGTAGGATAACTTCAATTCAAGTTTTGTAAAAAAATTTATTGCTTGTGATACCATAATCATCACATTATATTACAGGCACTGTTATTTTTTAAAGTCATGTTCTCTCCTCAAGGGGGATAAATTCATGCATTACTTCTAACAAGAAACAGTATAGGTAGGAATTATATATACCAGTATAATAAAACACTACATTGAACCACACAGACTTATGATAAAGCAAGTAGAGGTTATTAAATCAAGCACAATTTGTTGTGTGGAGTGTTTCCAGTTTGATTTTCAAAAAGAATGCCCCTGAAGGGGAAAGGCTCATAAATAAAAACAGAATTTAGAAGCAGATGCCAGTCTAAAACCTCTAAATTCTCTCCTTAGATCATGTTTACCATGAGAAGTCTGTATATTTGGATGGCATTTGTTTATTTCCTTGTAGAACTGCCTCTATAGAACTGGAAATTTATGGGGTTCTGTCTTTAATTTTGACTGAAGGTCAGTATAAGAAATAGCTACAGAAAATCTATGACTGCATTTTTCCTTTTTATTATTCAGTACTCCTTCTGTAGAGCTCTGAGTGAAGACTTTCTTTTATATTTTATGCCAACATAAATTTCTGTCCCCTGAGAAGTGGTATTTCTGCACTGATAAAACTACTGATTATATATTCTCTTTTTTCTGCATTGCCAGAAAGCTGACATGATTGTATGTCCCGTATGATTAGCATATCTGCATTGTCCCCTGAGAAGTGGTATTTCTGCACTGATAAAACTACTGATTATATATTCTCTTTTTTTCTGCATTGCCAGAAAGCTGACATGATTGTATGTCCCGTATGATTAGCATATCTGCATTTTCTTTCCTTTAGTTTTTGATTTTTCTATTTCAATTTTGAAGAGCCACTGTTTATATCTTTTGCTGTAAGCTGCCTCAGGTCCTTTTTGAAAAGAGGCTTGAGTATAAAAGCCAGCAAGTAAATTAGTGAAATCGACAAACGCTCCCTCCACCCAGAGGATGCGACGCACCGCTGACATGTGGGTGGTGGGGACTGATGGCCTTTAGGTCCCTGCACTGCAGTCCCACTGTTGGCTGACCCTCCTACGTGGTGAGGAGCTGGAAGATGAGGGCAGTGGTGGCGCCTTGCGGGCACTGCCAGGCTTTGGCTCTGCACATCACTGGTTTGTGAATTTCCTCATCCACTAGGAGGAGGAAGGTTTTATTTGATTCCTATTGCCTTTTTCCATGCACATGCTAAGTAAGAGACAGGGAAGAGAAGAGGCCATTTGCAAAGAGAAGTACCACAAGAAAGGCATTTTCTCTACCATGATCTAAGTGTGTTGTAAGTACAATAGTAAAACCCCATGTATGGATTTATGAGCAATTATACAGGCTGTAAATGTGTGGGGAGATTGTCTCATGTTAAAATTTGACTTCAGTAATTTTTTTCACAAAATACAAAATAATGTAATACATTGTCTTTATTGTCTGACATTACAGATTGGTTTTACACTTTCCTTTTTTACAGACCGTGGGAATGAAGGGTAAAAATGTGTCCAGCATTTTGCAAACATTTTTTGTTACACACAAACACACACAATGAATAATAGAAAAGAGCATACAGAAGAATTAAAAGATACGCTGAAATTGGACAGGCTGTTTCTAACTGATCAATGGAAACTTTTTAATAACTCTAGTGAGTGCAGTACACTGTCATACACAGCTTGGTACGTGCACTTGAAATTAGTCAGACATGACTCCAGTTTACGCTGTGTTTAGATAGTCACAATGTCCCTATTTCCAGAAAAAAAAAAATGTATGTGATGACTTGGTGAACTCCCAGAGCAGAAAGGTTCTTGGTGATAAAAAGAAAGACTGAAAGTGACCTGTCCTTTAAGATTATTGTCAATCAACAGTAGGTATTCTGCTTTGGGGAAGAACCAGAAAGATGGGAAGTAAACAGTTACTGAGTACAATCTTTCTCTCACAAGACTGAGCACAGTTTGGTGGGCAGTGGAGGACAGGACTTCACAGTTATGTGATGGGAAGAGATTTAATTGCCTGATTTTTATTTTTAAAAAAGGGTTCCACACCTTTTCAGTAAAATGGAAACTGAAATGCATGTTCATGACAGGAGAGGAGGTAGAGGTTAGCTTCTGTGTGCCGTGGGCTTTGCAATAACGTGAATCTTGGTGTAGCTCTCGTGACTGTGGGGGTGTCTTTCTATTAACAGAAGGGTGTGATCAGCAACCTCTGAAAGCATAAGAATGCTTTGAAACTTATATCCCTGGGGATCTGAATAGTTTTTAACAAATTACAATTCGTTCCCTCTTCTAAAAGATGTAACAGCTCTCCTTTTGATGCCGACAACAGTGATAGTTATAAAGAATGCTGAAGTTTATATATTTCAATTCAAGCACTACATTGAAAAGGAAGCAAATTAGTATGATTTTCTTTTCTCTTTCCAAACTGAAGCATGAACATACATTAGAGGCAAAAGCAATGAGAAAAACAGCAGGATGGCAGGCCCCTCCATTGTTAGTTAAGACCTGCAGTAGGGGACATAACTTACTCCCTGCTTCAGCTCTTCTTCCTACAGAAAGATCGAATCAATAATAGTTAGATTACTCAGGGTTCCAACAAGAGCACGTACACAGTGTGAAGGATGCACGATGGGGAAACATCGACATGGCTTTGGTGGCGGGTCCAAGCCTCTGCCACCTCAGCAACTGTAGTTCCAAGTCTACTTAAGTATCTGAGACTCCAGACCCATCTATTTTCTCCATGAGTCCAGCCATTTTTCAACACGATTTATCTCTCTATCCTGGTGTTTGTACAACTTGATACAAAGGCTGTGCTCTATTTACCACCGGTGGTGGTAAATAGACTCCTATCCCATAGTGAAAGGATCATCGCTATGGTGACAGAGGCTACAGGAACATAAGCAGGTGGCAGGTTTCAAAGCTTCCTGTCATTCAGTGAAGGGAAAGAAGAGTTAGTCCTCTTCATTTGGTGTATTTGAAAAGAGAAGCAGAAAGAACTTTTCTGGTTCATCAGATGAGATAATAGGCCAGAAACAGCAGCAGGTCATTAATTATCTAGTTCTGTCTTACCGTAGACAGGATCTTGCATGCCTAAAGCGAGGCATGGAAAGAGTTGTATATCTTTCCATGAACTTTTTGAAGTACCCTCATATACTGAAAAGTAAATTTTGTTGAGTAAAAATCAAGCTTTCCCAACACTGTTAAAGAGGGCACTGATGGCAGAAAAAGTTGACTAAGGAATAAAACAAAGTCATGAAAACAAAAGAAAGAAATGTTACAAGAGCAGTGCCTGGGGTGCAGTAGGTTTCAAAAAATACTTGTTAAAGAAATGAAAGAAAGAAGGAGAGAGAGAAAGAAAGACAAAGAAAGAAATGGAAAGAAATAAATAGAAAGAAAGGAGGAAAGGAAGGAAGGAAGAAAGGGAAGGAAGGACAAAGTAAAAGCAACGAATGACAGTGTGGGGGAATGTGGGCGATCCATGGACTGAAAGTCAGCTCATCTTGTCTCACAACTGAGCCACCCTAGGGACGCTCTCTTCACTATTCTATGAGAAGTTTCATTTCCTGCCTTTGGAATGTCCCAGTTCTAATCCATCCTGGGTTCATGCTTGTTTACATCAGGCAGGATGATCACACAGCCCTGACACTTCTACTGAGCTGACTGTGGCCATGTGGCCATGATCTGCCTACTTCTGACTTTAAATGTAATTTAGTGTACACTGATGAAGGGAATAAAGTTTTATTAAAGGAAGAATGTTACTTCCCAATGGGAATAATATATTACAGTACTCTACAGAAGACTTCTATAGAGCATTTTATTAAACACTCAACTTACAGAAGAGTCAGGAAATATTCTCATTTACAGTTTGCATTTGATGCCACTGGAAATCATGTGACTTGCTGATAGAGCCACAGATGGGAGAAAATATTTTACTGAAATCAACAAAGTCCTCTTAATAAAACTATCATCACCAAAACTATTTAATGGCCAATGTCTTAATTTTCTGAAGTGGAAATTAGCCTCTTGTTCAACTTAATCAGAATTTCTGAAGGCTATTAAATATAAAATATTTCTAAGTAAACCCAGTTTTATTACTTTTAAGGACATAAAAGAACGGAGAATAAGCCAAGAAGTTACTCTGCGAAGGCCTTCAGTAGCAAGGTTCCAGGAAATGGGTTGGAAATTAGCCTCTTGTTCAACTTAATCAGAATTTCTGAAGGCTATTAAATATAATATATTTCTAAGTAAACCCAGTTTTATTACTTTTAAGGACATAAAAGAATGGAGAATAAGCCAAGAAGTTACTCTGCGAAGGCCTTCAGTAGCAAGGTTCCAGGAAATGGGTAAGAAAGAGTTCTATAATTGACTACCACTGTTTCATGGGTCTACGAAATAGTTCTACATAGGAGTTTGAAACAACATTTTTGGGGAAATCACATACAGTAATTGGAAAAACCATTGCACATTATGTGCAAACACTGTTTTTCAAATGCCATGATAATAGGTCTAGGAAGCATTTATTTGAAACGTCTTACCTTTAGTAGCTTCATGAGACCTTCTAACTGGACCATTAGCTCTCTCCGGCTCTCCTGGAGAGCAGACATTCTCTGTTCCAGCTCATCCTTGCGCTGTCTAAGAAAGAAGCAGTTGTCATCAGACATAGCATTTAACTCACTGAGCTAATCACATTTCCCATTCTCTGGGGCTAGTGGACTATCAGAAAAAGGGCATCTCTGGGTCTTTGATGTGGTTACTGTTTTTCAAATGAATGAACAATTATAGCTTGAGGTGTACTTTTATTTGTTAGAAGTTATTCTAAACTTACACAGAATTAAAATTCCTCAGACATTTCCACCCTTCTACCCTGAATTAATTGAATGGAATATTTCCTGAATGCTTACTATGTAATGGGCCTTGTGTTGTGTTATTTGAGACAGCAAACAACCAAAAGCCAAATTGTCGCTGTAAAAGGCTAATCTTACAGATTCTCCAAATCTGAAGATCCTTTTTTCTTTTTATTTATTTATTTATTTTTTATTTATTTTTTTTGTCTTTTTCCGTGTCCGGCAACGGATCACAACCCTCAGTGTTGCCCCCGTACCGGACCGGGAACCGGCAACGGGATCGCAACCCTCGGCGTTGCTCCCGCGCCTTGCTCAGCCAGTGAGCGGGAACCGGTCTGTATGTGGGATCTGAACCCTCGGGCGGGAGCGCCGCCGCGCTTCCCAAGCGGTGCACTATCCAGTGCGCCACCGGGCCGGCCCTGAAGATCCTTTTTTCAATGCACAGAAAATACTGATTACCTTAGTATTTGAAAATTTGATTTACATTTTTCTTTAAATTTTCAAAAATTTTTATTTTTTATTATACATACATGTGGGGTACAATGTTGATTTTCAATAATTATGTAGAATGTGTGGTAGTTAGATCAGTATAGTTAGCTTATTCATCATCATAGTACGCAATCATTCTTTGTGTCTGCTGACCAGTTCCTCATTAGCCCCCCCTCCCTCTTCCTCACCCCTCTCCTTTTCCACCTCTGGTTTTCTAAAAGTTCAACATATTACTGTGATTATTGTTTCTTTCTTTCTCTCTGTCTCTTTATTGTTCATTTGCTTGTTTATGGATTCAGCTCCCAGTTATGAGTGAGAACATGCAGTATTTCTTTCTGCACCTGGGTTATTTCACTCAGGATAATCTTCTCCAGGCTCATCCATGTTGTTGCAAATGGTAGAATTTCATTCTTTTTTATGGCTGAGTAGTATTCGCTTGTGTATATGTACCACAATTTCCTTATCCAGTCATCCATTGATGGACATTTAGGTTGGTTCCACCGCCTAGCTATTGCAAATAGAGCTGCAATAAACATGGGAGTGCAGGTATGCCTTTGACTTGATGTTTTCCAATCCTCTGGATATATTTATTGCCAGGTGTGGGAGTGCTGGATCATATGTAAGTTCTGTCTGTAGTTGTTTAAGGAACCTCCATACTGTTCTCCATAATGGCTACATTAATTTACAGTCCCACCAACAGTGCAGGAGGATTCCTCTCTCTTCACATCCTCGCCAGCATTTGTTATTCTCTGTCTTTTTTATGATAGCCAGTCTGATTGGGGTGAGGTGATATCTCAGAGTGGTTTTGATTTGGATTTCCCTGATGTTTAGTGATGTTTGAGCATTTTTTCATGTACTTGTTGGCCAAATCTCTTTTATCCTCAGCACCCAATGTAGTGCCTTTCAAAGGGGAAATATTAATGATACATAGATATATAATTAATCTAAAATTTTTAGTTTAAATTCAATTTCATAAAGTCAGAATAAAGGAGTTCCTACATAATTGCTCTATAACTGAAAATGATATATAAGGTTTGCAATTGTATAATTTTGCTTTGTTTTGCAGACTTTCTATTAAACTGTCAGCCAGAATGGAAACCATTAAGGACAATCTACACTCTGTCATTTATATTGACACTAAGAGGTACCAAAAATATATTAAAGATGTAAAGAAATGGAACAGTGTGGAGAGAAATATTAATGGTTCATGTTTCTAAAGTATATGTATACTTTTAAAATCCGTTTCAAATCCATTATTTGACAATAATTACTAGGTAAGTAATACATACAAATTTTCCCTTGCCACAAAGTCTTCTGTTTGAGTTTGTAATATTACTTATATACTTATACTTATATTCTAAAAATGCGTGGATGCTTTAAACATGTACGTATTAATGAACAGATAGATATGGCTTGTCTCAATGGCATAGACAATATATTAAGTGGAGCTATAGCAGGGACTCTGAAATGAAAAACTGACAGTATAAAAATGTCACAATGAATTAGGTCAATGACTCATCTAAGTGAAAGATGTTCTTTGGAAGGACAGGTTAAGGATATAAATGAGACATCTCTAATTCACTTTCATATATGCTTTCTCTATAATGAATTTAAAATTTATAAACATTTCTCAACCTTTTTTGAATATATTTATATTTTTAGCTATTATTGCTGCTATGGATTACTCCTGAAGCAATCCTTCCTTTGATTTCCTTTACAATTGCCTCCTTTCTGAATGCAAAGGATGAGAATCTTATAGGCTTTAATGGTATCTTATTTTTAGTTTCTGTCTTCCTGGGCTGAAGCATTCTGACTTTGAAAGTCTTGCCCCATTCAAAAATATTCTTCGATGACAAATCCATTAGCTGTTTCTCATTGACCTTGTCTGCAAGCGGTGTTCCAAGTACATCCACAGTAGGCCTTGGTACAAAAGTAGATAATGTTTCTGATTTATTTCCAGTTGTCTTCTTGATACTGTTCTGTAATTTTTGGCCTTTTAGCCACAGGAGCACTTTGGCGATAAGGTTAAAGCAAAATTCTAATACTGTAGGTAAGAAATACTAAGAGAGGCAGTTAAAAGTTGGCTAGTATTAATTTAGAATTAGTAAACATTAAAAAAACTTACTTGAACATTTATCTTACAGTAGTAATCTCTCAAAAACACAACAATCAATTCAATTTTCTTTTAAAAATCTAATGTCTTTGTTCAGTCTTCTCTGTAAGAGTTTATACCAGTGGTTACCAAACGTGGGTCTGATAACAAACCTGTGATGTGGCCTCCACTATTCCAAGAAGAGCGAGAAAACAAGAACTAAACAGTGATTTTATTTTCCTAGAGCTAAATGTATCCATCTCTAAAAGAATGCCTTTTATTCTGAAATTCCGTCAGATTATTTCTAATTTTATGTGTGTTAAAACATACTTTCTTTTAGGATAGTGTTGGGACAGTTGGCAGAATTTTAATATGGATTTTATATTAGATAATAATATATGAGGATACTTCAAAAAATTCATGGAAAGATTTGTGTTATCTTTTAATTCTGTTTTTCTATGAACTTTTTGAAGTACCCTCCTATATCAGTATTAATGTTCCTGGATTGGAGGATGGCACTGCGGTTATATAAGAGAAATTTTTTTCTTAGAAAACATTTACATAAGCACTTAGGGGTGAAGGGTTTATGATGTCTGCAACTTTTATTTAACTTCTGTGAATCTCAGTTTCCTCATCTGTCAAATGAGTGTAATATTTATCTCAGTGTTGCTAAAATTAAAATGAGATAACCTTGATCATGGCCTGACACAGAGTAGAGGCCCAAAAAGTTGTAGCTAGTATTAATATTTTTATATAGCACTTTTTCACAAAACCCTCTTAGACTCCAAAAGTTGATATGTGGCCAGGGTTTCAGGAGACAGGCACTCACACACACTGCTGGAAGAAAGTGTGACAATATCTACCAAAATGACAAAGGCCATACCCTCTGACCTAGCAATTCTACTTCCAGGAATTTTATTCCAAATATGTCCAGTGGCTTACATAATACAGGTTTTTACTGCAGACTTCTTTATAACAGCAATACTTGGAAATAACCTAAATGCTCACTAACAGAGGACTGGCTTTGTACACTATGGTATCCCATGCACTGGAATACTATGCAGCTCTAGGAAAGACAGAAAAAGCTCTTTATGCACCAAATGGGGTGCTCTCCAGAGGATGCTTTGGGTGAAAAAAAGGCTAAACACAGAACCGTGTGTATATTATGCTGCCATCTACCTAGAAAAGATGGAAAAGTATTTGCATATTTCGTGGCAAGTTATATAGTAATTTGTGGTTGGTTGAGGTATACCTATATTGCTATGATTTTACATGTTTATGGGGTTCAGAGTTATTTTTTGGTACATGTATACAATGTGTGATGGTCAAACCAGGGTAATCAAGTTATTTATCATTGCAACAATTTATCAATTGTTAATGTGATGAAATGTGATAAAATGTGATGAAACATTTGAGCTCTTCTAGCCATTTGAGAACATGTAATAAATTATTGTTAATTATAGATGCCTAGCACTATTGTATACCACTAGCACTTATTTTTCCTACATAGTTGTAATTTTGTATCCATTAACCAACCTCTAACTATCCCCTCTCTCCCCCTTCCCTTCTCAACCTCTAGTACCACAATTCTAATCTCTACTTCCAGAAACTCAATTTTTTATTTTTTTAACTCCCACATATGATTGGGAACTTGTAGTATTTATCTTTCTGTGCCTGACTTATTTCACTTAACATAACGTCTTCCAGTCTCATCCACGTTGCCACAAATGATAGGACTTCATTCTTTTTCATGGCTGAGTAGTGTTCCATTGTGTATATGTACTACACTTTCTTTACACATTTGTGCAAGGATTTCTAATACATCTCTCTGCAGGTAGGACCAGAAATCATATAGGTTTAGAGGGAAGAATTTGTTTCTTCCATTAAATTATTTTGTTATTCAAAAGTATGAAGTGATCTCTTCATACTACGTGCTACAGATTCTAAAGATCTTTCCAAAGTCAAGCCTTTGATGGGTCTGTTCTTCCAGCCAGTGCTTGGGAGAGGTGAGAGGTCGAGTGGATTCCAGGTAAAGAGCAGGCAGGGCCTGCATCCCAGGCCAGGTGTGCTGCAATGCTCTGACGTTAATGTGTCCAAGGGCAGGGCTAGGATAGAATCCTCAGAAACATCCATGGTGCAAACAATAGGGACTTGGAAAATCCAAACATAGCCATACAGAACCAGGTGTGCTGCAATGCTCTGACGTTAATGTGTCCAAGGGCAGGGCTAGGATAGAATCCCCAGAAACATCCATGGTGCAAACAATAGGGACTTGGAAAATCCAAACATAGCCATACAGAACCTTCTTAATTTAATCTCTTTGTATGGATGAGGAAAATGGCACTAATTCTGACAAAAGTTTCTGAGAAGAGGCATCTGTACTTGCTGTAAAAAGTATGACTCAGAGTTTTACATATACCTGGAATGTTCTTGGCAACCAAACTGAAAGACGGAAAGAATGTAATGCTTGCTAACTAAAAGTGCCTTGTGAAAGATCTGTATGACTTTTCTATGAGGGAATGTCTTTTAATTTATTTTTGTGCTGTTTGCTTCACAAACATTTGCGTACCTGCCATATTCAAGGCATAATACTAAGCCAGTCTGATGTGCAGCCCACAGCAAGACTTTGACTTTGCAGCATGAGAGAAGTGGGAGGAACCACAGCCCTTATCCAAGCCCTGCTACTCTCCAGCTTTCTGACTCTGAGAAGTGCACTGAAATTCAGGGGTTGAATTGGATGACCTTCTATAGTCCCTTCCAACTCAAATATTTTATGAGGACAGACTAGACAAGACTAGGCTTTTAAATTCATTTGCAGAACAAGAAAGTATGAGGTCTATTTTTAAAGTTCTGTATATAAAACTATTAGGGAACAAAATTTGGAGAAAATCTTACCCCCTTTTGTAGATTAGAGTGAACTTTCAATTCAGAAACTTGTGATGTTTATTTAGCTGTTTATGTGTTTGTTTTGTTGATCATTCATAACATAAACACACTGTTGATAGTGTAAATAACTAAAAAGAGCTGAGTTCAAATTTTTTCCAGTGAAAGATTTTGTTCCTGATCTAAAGAAGTCTGTTTATTTTTCTCTGTGCCAAATGAAAATATAAAATACAAACAATTTCTCCCAAACCTCCAAAATCTCAGCAACTAGGCCTGTGCTACTAAAAAACCAAACCAACATCAGCAGCTCCAGTGGCTAAGGGCCATTTCCTGGCTAGACACTGAGGCTCTATTAAAGATCTCAGACGTTTGTATTCCCTGAAATGACTTGGGTGCCCTCCTTACCTGAGGAGCCGGAGTTCTGCCAGCAGGGTGGGGTTCTGCTGCGCCTTCTCTGGCGTGGGCTGAGAAGCTTGTTCATGCTCTAGCCTCAGTCTCTGGATCTCCTGTAAGATTTCTCTTGGGAGAGAGGAGGTGAGAAACCAGGGTCAGTTAACCTCCAGGATACTGACATCTGAGCAGAGTAGGGCCACCAGAACAAAAAGAGAGAGGATCCTATATTTCGGAGTGGAACCAACCTTCACTAACCAACAGACCCACTGTATTTATGAGGCTTGGCCTCTAGCTAGTTGGGTGCTGTGGGTGAGGGGGAGACTGAATTCATCTCCAGCACATCCAAACCATGAAGGTTCTGCAGTATATCGATGACTGCTATAACCAGGGCCCAATATTCTCTCTAGTAAGTAATAAGATGCTGTGGTAATGTGTTCAACTTTGAGGAGTGCACTGCTTAAGAGACAAAAATGTATCTTCCTATTATTTATGGTCATGCTCTGACACCATAAAGTACCCGCAGCTACCAAGTAAGAGGTGCTTGGAGAGAAAATAAGGATAAATGGTGCTCATTTTAAAAAAGTAAATAAATAACCTCATTCTCTCACCAAGAATGAAATTCTTCTCACTGAATTTATCTGAGAAGCCCCACTTAGGCAAAATTCTTTCTCTTTTTTCCTAACACTTTCAGTCTTAACAGTGGGTGGCAAGGAAGGTAGCCTCAGAGAGAAAGTGCTTTTAAGAGGATTCACTGTAATTGAGTCTGTGACACAGAGTGCTATTCATGTGACCTCTGTCAGGGGGTGAGATATGTCAGTCTATTATTGATGTTGGGGCCTAGGCTTCCCTGCATTTGGGTGCACATTAGGCTGTGCAAGGCAAATTATCCCTAAGCAAGTCAGAAGCCATTAAGCAAGGTTACCAGTCATGCATTCTTGGGGGTTGGGAGTGTCAGTTTCTACTCAACAAATGCACAATAGCCAGTAAGATGGAACAAAGCGTGAGAATGGACAGTGAACTTGCTGAGCCAGGGGGGTGGCTTTCTACTTGAAAGGTCGATTTACAACTGCCCACTGTGCGAACACACCAGGATCAGGAGGCTAATTACCAGTGAGTCATTACACCTTTCATGGTTATGGTGAGAAGGCTGGACTGTAACTCAGTAGTTTTTTTGTCCCTCTTAGTGTTCCATGGTAGAAGCCTTTCTTTAAGAAAATTTTCCGTGGAAACCGAATATGTCAGATGGGTAAGAGGGGCTGTTTGGGTTAAGAAAGGGTGGGCTCCTGTGCTGCCAGCCCTTCCTCTTCCCGCTTCAGGTACCTCTGCAGAGTCCCTAGGTCCCCTGGAACTCAGCCTGAAAATCAATGAGCTGAAATTTGCAAGCTTTCCTCCAGGGCTAACGTCCTGATATTTTATGATTCCTGCTAGTTCTCCTTGTTGGCTCTAAAGACAGAACCATGAGAGAGCTGTTTAACCCAAGGAAGAAAAAGAGAGAAGCAGTTCTGGAAGAAAAAATAATGAAAAGATACATAATGCACATCAAGTGCTTAGTTTATACCCAGGAACAGACAGTGCTGTCTTCTTTAATCTTATTTTAGTTAATTCTATAACATTCCTACTATACATAGGTACTATTATCTATTTCTTGAATGAGGAAATCAAGGTGTAGAACAATTAAAATACTTGCCCAAGTAGGAGGAAGAGGTGATTTGAACCCAGGCTGGCTAGCTCCAAAACCTTGTATATCAGACTACCTCAGTCCTCTGGTACTTGCTTTGCCAGGTCTAGCCTAGGCAGGCTGTGACCTACATAATATAATTTGATGAGTCCTGTTACTACCAATAGCAACCCCAGCTGGCTTCTCCAAGGTGCTTTTTTTTTTAAAGTTTATATAAATATTATATTAATAGCTGTTGAATATACACCCAGCAGTTTTCATGTAGTATTTAAGCATGGTATACCATTATAGTTTAAAGCAGAGGTTCACAATCTAAGGCCTGTGGTTTTGCTTGCACCTGTTTTTGTAAATAAAGCCTTATTATTATTATATCTTTTTATTGGTTTTGAATATTCATGAGATACAAAGCTGATTGTCACCCCTCGTGCCCATGATGTGAGGGCCAGATTCATACTGGCAGCATGCCCATTACTACAAATTGCATTTGTACCCCGTGTCTCCGCAATCTAAGGCCTGTGATTTTGCTTGCACCTGTTTTTGTAAATAAAGCCTTATTATTATTATATCTTTTTATTGGTTATGAATATTCATGAGATACAAAGCTGATTGTCACCCCTCGTGCCCATGATACAATCTAAGGCCTGTGGTTTTGCTTGCACCTGTTTTTGTAAATAAAGCCTTATTATTATTATATCTTTTTATTGGTTTTGAATATTCATGAGATACAAAGCTGATTGTCACCCCTCGTGCCCATGATGTGAGGGCCAGATTCATACTGGCAGCATGCCCATTACTACAAATTGCATTTGTACCCCGTGTCTCCCACCCAATTATCCCCAACCTTCCCAAAGGTGCTTTTAAAGATCATCACTGACATATCCATGAATTACCTCGGATAGACAGAGTTATTAAGTGAAATGAGGAACTCTATCTTCCCCTTAAGCTCAGAGATCTGACTATTGGATTATTTGTCACCCTGGAGACCATGAGACCCCTGGGGGTGAATTTCCATGTTCATGAGTATGACCTGGATACTGTTTATCAGAGATGGGTGGGCCACTCTAGGAGCCACGAAAGAACTCAGGGCCAAGACGAAGCTCTCTTTCTGCCATCTCTTCACATTCCCACTTCTTTTTTCTCTCTCTGGTCCTAAAAACATGCATACAGAGAGTGCAATGCAAACATGTCCAGGAAACAAGCAGTAAGAGTGGTATTAAAGCACGGTCAAGGTCCTTAGGATATTCATGGTGCTTCCTGTTGATTCTAGAATGGGAAATAGATCCACAAGGAGGCAGATATTCCTGGGACACTTCCTTAAAGGAAGTCTTAATTTCTCCTCAAGTGTGCTATCCCTGTGCCTGATTGGAAACAGAGGATTTGAATTTCCATGTTCATGAGTATGACCTGGATAAGCTTCTGGAACATGGCTCTGCAGTCTTTGGACAGCGTGAGGCTGCTGGCTTAGAGAGATGAGTTCAGGATGAACTCACTGTTTATCAGAGATGGGTGGGCCACTCTAGGAGCCACGAAAGAACTCAGGGACAAGACGAAGCTCTCTTTCTGCCATCTCTTCACATTCCCACTTCTTTTTTCTCTCTCTGGTCCTAAAAACATGCATACACAGAGTGCAATGCAAACATGTCCAGGAAACAAGCAGTAAGAGTGGTATTAAGGCACGGTCAAGGTCCTTAGGATATTCATGGTGCTTCCTGTTGATTCTAGAATGGGAAATAAATCCACAAGGAGGCAGATATTCCTGGGACACTTCCTCAAAGGAAGTCTTAATTTCTCCTCAAGTGTGCTATCCCTGTGCCTGATTGGAAACAGAGGATTGGAAGGGAAAACAAATGATCTGGAGAGGTGGAAGAGTAGGTTAACACTGCAACCAAGATAAGATATTTGTGTGCCTGTGAATTTTTACTTTCGTCTTTTCTAAGTAGGGATGTAGGAGTGAGGCTGAAACTTGTGGAAACTCACCAGGTTTTGACCTGCTCCTCCTGATATGGCACAAAGACCTTCTTTGATCTTAACATTTTATCCCTTATTCCCGCCCCAACCTCTGACTTTACTCTTTGTGTCAGGACAGATGGACAGGAGAAAGGAAAGAACAAGAGAGTGAAAGAAAAAAAGGCCATCAGTGAAATGAAGTGTATGAAGATTGTTGTTGGAGAATCTGGAATCCCTAATGGAAAGCATGGAAGTGGATAAAAGAGAATCTCATAAATTAACATTGCAGTAATATGTATCCTTTTGTCCAATCATCTCTTGTTTTAGTGCATTTATTTCTGTTTCTGGCACCATGTATTTAACATATGTCCTCATCATTTCCCACCAGCTTCTAGTCAACTCCTTGTAAATGCAACCTTCATATTTAATAAGCTGATTATTTTACCATAAACATGTATTCTGTCACTTGCCCTGCCACTGCTGTCCATCATGACAGGATAGAATTCAAATTCTTTGGCCTGGTGCACAAGCCTCATATATTGATGTTTCCATTTTATTCTTGATTTCAACTCCCTGGTGCTGGCCTGGCAAGTGTCTTTATCACTTTTCTCCAAGTCTGTGTGTATTTTTACCTGTAATTTTGTCTCTCATCTTTCATTGCCAAGTTTCACTGTTTTGAAATGCCCAATTAAAACTCACCTTCTCCATAAAGTTTACCCTACGCAACCTAGTGAAGTGGGTCACGTTGGGTAAAAAGTGTAGAAATAACATCTCACTTTTTAAATTTTAATCTTTACAATGGGGATGATAATATTCAACCTGCTTATCTCACAGAGTTGTTCAGAGGATGAAATGAAACAATATTTGCACACATGATCTGTAAATATATAAGATTGTCATAATTTTCTCTTCAACACCTCAAAACAAAGACCCAGGGTTCTTACTGCTGCCACCTGGAAGCTGTAGTCTTATGTTATAAATCCTATTTGTGGTTTTTTCCCATTGGATGGCTCCTTGCTGGTTAGCAATCATAATATGTGTTAGAAAAAAGGGACTATGGGTTGGAGAAAGGGTTGTGGGATGATGTCTGGTAGAAACTCTAAATGAAAGGACCATATTGAAAGCCAGATCCTTCTCCAGAAAATGGTCTCAACTTGAGCATAGTTCAAGCCAGTCTCAAACTGGCATAGCCTTCCAATTCCAGATAAAATAATTGATTTTTTTCTCTTCTTCTTTCCTTTCTTCTTTAGTTCTTTCCATTGACTTTATTATAGGACACTCTGATTTATTGACATCTACTAATTCTGGCTGAGTCATTCTGAATAAACTTTCACACCAAATATAATGGGTTTACTTTGTTGATTAAAAAGGAAAAAATATTGACTTTATTATAGGACACTCTGATTTATTGACATCTACTAATTCTGGCTGAGTCGTTCTGAATAAACTTTCACACCAAATATAATGGGTTTACTTTGTTGATTAAAAAGGAAAAAATCCCCTACGTTCCAATTCTATTATTTGCTAAGGTTACCAATAGTGAAGTTTTGTTCTGAAGGAGTTGAGACTTTGGATTAAATCTACCTGTCAAGAATTTAAAACTAGTCCATTTTGCCTTTTTTCCCTTTCTTTCCATGCCCTCTCTGGTGCCCAAATTGATGTAAAGCTTCAAGATAACATTTGACCGTGGCCCCTCTATTCTCCAACCCCTTGCCATCAATACCCATAGAACCATTCTAGAACCTGAGAGTCCACAATGGTTCTTCTACATGGTTCACATCCGGCCTTCAGGCTGGCTAGCTCAGCTCACATGCTTTCTGCAAAGCCTCCCTGCTCCCACTTTTACCTGTGCCCCCCAACTACCTGTTTCCTTTCTCTGGGTTGTGTCTCCTGCTGGATTTTAAGTGCTTTGGCTCATTTGAAACCACTGCCTTATCTCAGTGCCTTTTCTGATTTAGCACAATTATTTGCATAGAGTAGATATAATAAATGTTATATGAAACAGACTAGGCTATTTTACAGACTTACAACTATCCTGAACAAATTCCAACTTTATGGCTATTTTTTTCTAATTCTTCACCATGCTTCTGCCTTCTCCCTTCTTAATTCTTGCCAACTATTACTTGGTAAATTGAGATCACACACGGCAAACATTGTTTATATTCCAGCTCTGATGTGAGCACGTCTCTTTGGGGGGTTAGATAAAGTAGCAATTTCAAAGGCTCCAAAGTCGCAGTGCCACGTTTGTGAAGCTATTTTCATTCTAATATGTGGTCTCCTAATGATGAGAGCCAAGACCTGGGACAATTAAGCCAAAAGCCTTTTTACTACAAAAATATGAAAATGTGCCAACAGAGTTTGCACCTTCTTCTTTATTTTTTTTCCTGTAGAACTCTAAAGAATACTTTGATCATTTAACTCCCAAATTCTCAGGTCAAATTCTATAGGCATGAAATAATTATCACGACTTCCTCCTTTAGTCTACCAGTTTAACCTTACAAGTGACATCAGTGTTTAAGAATCGGATTAAGCGTTAAGACATTTTGGTGCTGTTCTAAAACATATAGAATGTACAAATTGTTCCTATGTTGGACTTACTCAGCACTGAGTTTGAGATCTGACTTAGCTATTCATTATTTTTCTAGTCAGTATGTATTTACTGAGCTTCTACAATGTGCCAGGCATGGTTGTGGGCCTCAGGGGATATTTGGCATTGCTTATGTTCTCAAAGAACTTCCATTTCAGTATGGAAGACAGTAAACAAGGAAACAAACACATAAATATGGTTATTTTAGACAGTGGTAAGTGCCACACACACGTGCACACAGGGTTGTAATACAAAGTGGTTGCTGGTGTGAGCAACATTAGACAGGTGATCTTCAGAAGGTGACATTTGAGCTGAGACTTGAATGATGGGAAAGAGCCATCCATAGAGAGACCCTGAGGAAGAGCTTTCTAGGCTGAGAGAATGACGAGTGTGAAGGATATAAAGACAGAAAGAAGGGGCATGAGGCTGGGGTATGATGAGCAAGGTGAGCTGAGCCCGGACAGGTAGGCAGGAATCAGGTTAGGCAGGATCTTGCAGGTCATGGTAAGAGAAGTGGATTTTAATCGAAATGTGACAGAAAATCATCAGAGGGTTTTTAACCAGGAATAACATGACATGACTTATTTTTTAAAAAATGACAGGTTGGGTTAGGTGTTTGTAGTGGAGATGAAGCAGACAGTTTAGGGGATTTGCTCTGGAGGTAGACTGTGAGTCCCTCTTTGCTGAGTAGAGAAGGATCTGCTGATGGACCGGAGGTGGAGATGTTTGGCTTGAACAACTGGGTTGATGGTGTTGCTCCAAATGCCTCCTTAGTCTGGGGTCCTTACAGGGAGCCTCCCTGGAGAACCTCTTACTTGTATCGAGGTGGTAGAGACACCTTAGCCTAGCACCCAGGAGGGTCCTCTTGTGTTAGACTGTTCTTTAAAAATAAGTTTGTCAGAAAAGGAAAATGAGACTGTCTAGGGGGACAGCATCAGTTGTGTTGACATCTCAGAACAACACACACAAACATACACACAGAGTTTTCTCATGAAGCCTCTGAAGACCTAAAGATCTAAAGACCAGCTTTTCAGAAGCCAGCGTCACTTACTTTAGATGTCTTTCCTTAAATATGCATACAGTGTGAAAATCCCAGAGGCTTTAAAGCACAACTGTAGGTTATTAATGAGTGCGCACGCTGATCACAGAAGCCAGCATGTCTACAAAGCCATACCTGTTCTTGTTCTCTAGTTCTGCAATGAGCTGCCTTTGTTGCTTATTTGCATCAATGGTGAAGGAGATGTCAGGAGCACTTCTTTGCTGAGCTGGCTGCTGTAAAATATGTAGTGTACATGATTTAATATCAGGAATGCGAACCAACGTGTTTGGAAAGACAGGAGTCATGAGACATGCAGACAAGGGAGAGGAAACTATTACTATTCTAACAAAAAAAGCAAATACGTAAAATGAAATTGCCATTCTTCTCTTAAGAACAAACCTTGCTGTGGATCTGGAATACGTCTATGCAATGGAAAGCAGAGTAGAATTCTCTGGCAGGCAAATAAACAAAATATAGGACAAACAGTTTTTTAGCTTTCTGACTTGAAGTCTTGGGGAAGCTATTTTTTTTCTTTTCACACTGTCCCCATTGCAATCATCCTCTCAATGTAGGTGAGCTTACAAAATGCTTTACTGTCGAGATAGCTCTTTCTCTAGATTTACTGTTCAATCACTGTAACGTACAATTAAAAATTTCATAGTTTTTGAGACACAGTTTCTTTTGTTATTCTTTTGGCCAACATACTTTTATGTATTTCTTTATTCATATATGTAATTTTATGTAGGTTACATATATGTGTATATATAACCTATATATAAAAATGTATATATATATATATATATATATATATATGAATCTATCTATTTAAAATTATAATGTATGTATATCTGCTGTTTCCACCTTCACAACACACTGGCTCCTCATTCTTGCTCATGCAATCAGCTTTAACAAATGGTGTATATGCAGTCATAGCTTCCTCATATAATCATATATATCATAAATCATATTATACCATATTTTTATATATATTTCTGTGTATGTGTTTGTGCACTTAGTCAAGGTTTATTTGGCATTGTTTTATAAAAATGGGGTTGGAACATGTACACTTCTTGTGCCTTGCTTTCTTTGCTTTGCAGTACATTATAGAAATTCCTCCCAGCTGATTTTTATTGTTTAAAAAACAAATTTAAAAAATCACAACGAATCTTTCTACCAAAGAATACAACATTTTTATAAATGGCACCTGTTGCCTAAGCCAAACGACATGGAGCAACTCAGCCCACTTTTTAATGTCCAGAAACCTAACTACAGGAATGGTTAAGATGGTAAAGGTCGGACTTTCATAAACTGTTCTATGATTTTTTAATTCACATTTCTTTTTAACAAAGAAATGATTTGTGTTGCTAATGAAGAATTTTGAGGTCCTAAGTTTTCTATCCTAAATGGCTTTCTAAAACTAAGACTGGCATATGGCAGCTTTGACCTGTAGTCCAGGTTTTTCTTCTGAGTTTACTACATAAGTTTCTCTTTCTTGCACATATGTTATATTGATAAAAGGTAGAAACTTGTCTGAGCCGGTTGTGGATTTCGGTCATTGCTTTGCTGTTCATATAAATTCATCAGGAATTATCCAGACAGAATGGACCCAATTAATGACCTTTCTATCTCCTTTCTAACTTGGTGACATCTTACTAATCATGATTTATTTAGCTAATCATACAATTCTTGATATGAGATTATGAAGAGATTTGCAAAGGAACTAGAATTAATATGTGGATGATATCTTTTATGATGGGTTCACAAAGGTTACATATCATATACATAGGCAAAGAAAACAGGTAGCTTATGTTTTTGAGAAAGATATGGAACACAGACTGGTGAAGTTAGTGCACATATAAATAATAACATGGGCATAGAGATTTAGCACTCCACCAGGGCTCACTAATTCTAATGTTGGCTGTAGGGAGAAACCCAAATGAGAGAAGGGGCCAGGGGTAGGAGTTGTGGCAAAGTGCTGATTGCTTGCTTTGTCCAAAGCAGACAGAGAATGTCTCTATCCTCACTGCTTGTTGCCATAAGGAACATGCACCCAGTCTTGCCAGTCTTTCACGATAAGCTGAAAATACAGAGTTTTAAGGAAAACCATCTGATTTGCAAATACTGACAACTAAAAAAGAACCGAATACACCGTGGGGACCAACAGAACATTCCTGGGGGACAAATTTGGTCTGTAGGCTGCCATTTTGGGACTGCTGGTTTATGCGGCACTTTTGTACATTTTATTATTGCATTTGACCATAAAAACAGGTAGCGCTGGCGCTTATAATAATTATTGTAATTATACCTACTTAGAGATGAGGAAACTGAAGTTAAAGAAGTAGTGCTTTGCATAAGATCATGGAAAGCTGGGACTCACACTCAAAAGTCTACATTGCTAATCCCACATCACATCCTCTGTCTATAAAGGTATATGTATGGATAAAAGCAACAAAAGCTGGAAAAGAGGTTTTTCCAGAAAACTTGTTTTGCCTTTCAAGTGACTCCCAAGGGGTTGCTTGTATTAAAATCTAGTTCTCCTAAACTCTCAGCTGACTTCATTTTAATTTTCTTTAACTCATTTGTTCATTCTTTATGGCATTTAAGATTTCATATACTCCAATTATATCTCTGTTTTACCACATCTGATATTTGGGCCATATGGTACACTTTTAGCCTGCCCTGGATCCCTTCCCATCTTGTTCATGGTAGTTTCTAGCAGTGTTACAGTCACTGATGTCACAGAGAGCAAGTGTCAGCTCTAATGCAGTGGGTTACTACGTGGCTCCCATCTGGAATCAGCATGAAGGCCTCTGACAGCAGCAGCATTTGATGCGAGGGGTCAGGCAACAGCTTCCTCGCTTGTTCCCTAATGCTCACTGTCCTTTATGATGCACCGGTCATGGCTCACTTTCAGTTCAGCAAAGAAGAATTCTGAATAAAAGTGTCAAATTGATTGTTGCTTTTGTTTTAGAGACACAAGCAAATGGAGAAAGATATTCACCCTATTGCATCTGCTAGTATATTTTAAGTGTCACTTGCAACTGTTCTGCTTAAAACCTAGTGTCTACACTAAACATACTCTCTTTAAACCCATTAAAGGAATCACAACCAGTCCTCAAACCCTTCCTCAGGTCCTCACATGGGGATGACACTGGGTAACGGGGGCTGTAGGGCTTCCAGCTCAACCGCAGTATCATGCTACTGAGATGATTTTGTTCCTCATGTCTGCCATTTTTAAGCTGGCAATTCACCACCAAGATACCATAAACATTGCAACGAATGCGTGAACAATAAATTAGCACAAATTGTCCTGGTAACTAGTACCTGCTATACTGATAACAATAAACGTGATGTATGAAATTCAGGGATCTCGGACACAAACAGAAGAATCGTTTCACTCGAACTACTTACAGACGAGGAGGACTCTGCTGCCAGTCTTGCTGCATACCTGGCGATCAACCTGTGTTCTTCGTCAAGCCGGTTTGAACTCTCAAGCATACTATCAAGAACAAAGCAAAAGGAAACTCTTAGGCAACTGAGAAAGATTGATATATTCATATTACCACCAGGGGTTTTTGCTATTTAAATTTTTTAGTGCAAAAATTTGATTTGCCAGCTATACAAAATCCTGTTAGGTTAATAATCTCAGACTTGGATTTATGACATGATCATGTGGCCAGAAAGTCATTAATAAATCTTGTCTTCAGTTGATTTAATTGTCTTACTAAGAAAGCTCCAAAGAGAAGTGACTTTTCTGATCAACATTTCTGATGTAAGAATAATTTATTTTTAATCTAATTTTCCTGCCTTTAACATTTTTATATCCCTATTATACAAGTAATGCATGTCCATAATCAATGCATTAGAAAATATGAAAGCAAGAATAAAGAAAGAAAAAAACCAAAAATAATAACAACCATGGTCAGCACTCCATGATCTGCACCTGCTGGATTTCACATGCTTGTGTAATCCCCTCCCCTTTAACATGCGCTGGACTTACTGACTTGCTTCTAATGAATAAAATATGGCAAAAGACATAGAATGTCACTTCTAATATTGGGTTATAAAAAGACCATGGCTTCCATCTTGGGCATCAGCTCTGTGGAAAGGCCCATGTGATGAGAGATCCAAGCCAGTCAATAACCATGTGAATGAATCCACACTGGTAGAACCTTCAGATGAGACCACAGACTGAGCTGATGGCTTGATGGCAACCTCATGGAAATCCTTGAACCAGAGGCACCTAGCTAAGCCAAACCTAAATTCCTGACCAACAGAAACTGTAAGATAATAAATGTTAATTGCTTTAAGCTGCTACATTTTGGGGTGATGTGTTATTCAACAAGAGATAACTAATACAGTTCTTATCTATAATATTACTATCCAGGTGACCTGCTTTTTATATTTACTTCCAGAGAAGTAGAATTACAGTGGAGGCTCTCAGTGATATTAATGAGAATTGTTTAGTGTCTCATAAATTTATAGAAACTGTTCATGCTAGAATAAGTTTGATCTGAGTCCCTAAGAACTAATGCAAATGGAAGTATTATCAATTCTTCCATATTTCAGAAAATTTCATTCTCTGAAGCCTGTGATTCAAGACTAACTTTTGGGAGCCATTAAAAAAATTATTTGAAGCATACCAATAGCACTGATCCTGTTAACAGACTAGTGGGTTGTAGTTTGGCTTATCAGTTTTTATAGTATGTATCAGGTCAGAATCAAGATTAGAAACTAGTTCCTCTTATTCCCAAACATATTTATATTCTTTTTTTTTTCCTTTTTGTCTTTTTTACTGACCGGCAACGGGATCGCAACCCTCGGTGCTGCACCTGCACCGCGCTCAGCCAGCGAGCAGGAACCGGTCTCCACATGGGATCCGAACCCTCGGTGGGAGCGCCGCCACGCTCCCAAGCGGCGCACTCTCCAGTGCGCCACCGGGCCGGCCCCAACATATTTATATTCTTTTCCATCGATTCTTATACTTAAGCCTGTTCCTTAAAGAAAAAAGTTCATAGTCATGAATATACATTAAAAGAGACACACTCCTATGCCAACATTAAGGTTGTAAGTATTATCCATTATAAAAACTTGGAACCATTTGAAGTAACTGCTATGGTTTGGATGCGCTTTGTCCCTGTCAAAACTCATGTTGAGGGCCGAGCCCGTGGCGCACTCGGGAGAGTGCTGCACTGGGAGTGCAGCTATGCTCCCGCCGCGGGTTTGGATCCTATATAGGGATGACCGGTGCGCTCACTGGCTGAGCGCAGTGTGGGCGACACCACGCCAAGGGTTGTGATCCCCTTACCAGTCACGGAAAAAGACAAAACAAACAAACAAAAAAAACCCCAAACACTCATGTTGAAATTTGATCCCCAAGATAGCAGTGTTGGGAGGTGGGACCTGGTGGGAGGTGTTCGGGTTATGGGGCTGGATCCCTCGTGAATAGATTAATGTCCTCCTGTGGGGGTGAGTGAGTTCTCCCTCTTGCAAGAATGAAATAGTTCCTGAGAAAGCAGGTTGTTAAAGAGTCTGCCTTCCTCTGTTTCTCTCTCTTGCTTCCTCTCCACCATGTGATCTCTTTGCACATAACTTTCCCATTCACTTTCCCCATGAGTGGAAGCAGCTTAAGGCCCTCACCAGATACAGCTGCCCAAACTTGAACTTCCCAGCCACCAGAACATGAGTCCAATAAACCTCTTTTCTTTATAAATTACCCAGCCTCAGGTATTCTGGTATAATAACACTAAATGAACTAAGAAAGTAACATGCAATTATATTTATTTATATGTTTATTTACATATAAAGTAGATGTGCAATAACCTTTGTTCTAAATCAATGAGAAGATGAGTGATAATCATTATGTGTGTCCAGCATATTGGCTATGTCATTTCCAGATAGTTCGTCCCTGGGTGGCTGAGTCCACTTCTGTAACATTTCTTTTCTGGTCATTTGTAAGACATTCCTGTCTCCACTATCTGTGCTATAGTCTATCTACCTCACATATGTAAAGTACACCTATTTTAATCCTGAATACTTCCACTTTAGCTTTAGCCCTTTTCTCTGGGCTACAACAAATTACTAAAATATTCCTGAATTTCCCTACTTACCAACTTACTTCTCCATCCTCTGTCTTTTTCTTTTTTTTTTTTTTCGTGTCCGGCAACGGATCGCAACCCTCAGTGTCGCGCCCGTACCGGACTGGGACCGGCAACGGGATCGCAACCCTCGGTGTTGCTCCCACACCTCGCTCAGCCGGTCTGTACGTGGGATCCGAACCCTCGGCGGGAGCGCCACCGCGCTTCCCAAGCGGCGCACTGTAGCAGTGCGCCACCGGGCCGGCCCGACTTCTCCATCCTCTGAAAAAGAGGCTTCTCTTTCCTTTTGCCCAGATGAGATAACACATGTAAAAAGCATTAAGCTGGCACTGATGCCTGGAGTACATTAAGTGCTCAGACATGTTAGTTAATACAATGTTATTATTATTTTGCCTCTTAAGTAGTCTGTTCAGATTCATTAATGATTCATGTCTTTTTCAAATTGTCAGGTACCATCCAGCAGCTATCTAGAGCAGTGCTTCTCAAACTTTAAAGAGTAAGCTTATCATTTGGGGATCTTGTGAAATTGCAGTTTCTGATTCTGTAGTGGGGTGGGGAGGGGGTAGGTTGCAGGGTGGGACCTGGGAATCTGCATTTCTAACAAGCTGCCAAGAGATGTTGATACTACTGGTCCTGTGTAGTGGTCCAAGAACAACACTTTGAGTAGCAAGGATCAGGAGATCTTGAAAACAAAATGGAAAATACAAATACAGGAAATAAAGCCCAAAGGCAAACCATATAAAAAAGATTATTTTTCATGAGTATTTAACTGATATCCATGGAGCATGTGTGATATTTAACAAACTTTCTGTTAAGATAGAAAATTCTAGGATACAGGGCTCATATAATGTGTAGTATCAATCTCAGTGGATTGATATTTCAATCAGCATACAAATCTAGACTTGGAATAAAAAAATAATTTTAGTAGCAAAAGGCAGAATTAGTTCTGGAAAATTGATGCTTTAAAGCAGATGTTTGTCTTTATAAAACAATGTCTGCACTCTGCAGTGGTTAAAAATAACCAAAAAAAAAAAATTTCTTATTATAGCTTACTAAGAAAGACAGAATTACACTGTCTTTGCTTTAAATATAAAACTACTCCACAAAAAGACAATTTGATTTGACTTTAACATGCTTATCTTTCTTATTATAGCTTACTAAGAAAGACAGAATTACACTGTCATTGCTTTAAATATAAAACTACTCCACAAAAAGACAATTTGATTTGACTTTAACATGCTTATCATTTCTTGCTTGTGTATTAGAGACTATATGCCTAATTCAACACAGTTGGTGCAGACAGCAGGGCCCATTGCTCCAAGCCCAGGACGATGATCCGTTTGACTCCTTGAAGGTGACTTTGTCAGGAGCACTTGTGAGTGTTTTGATAAATACATAATTTTAAAAACCTTGATGAAAAACTTTGTGATAAAAGTGTCTTTTATCATGAATGACCAGCAAGAATAAATAACACGCAGGTTACATAAAAAAGCCTCCTGGAAATGTACGACATGAAGATATGGGGTTCTGTCTGGTAAGCGATAACTCATACTTCCATGCCTTTCCTCCCCCAGCACTGAGTGTACTAGGCCTGGTGTGATATATTACCCGTTTGTGCGCACGAACGATTTATGAGTCCACATGTGCCATTTCAGCATGTTCAAATTATACAAGGGTGAATGAGGCATTCCTCTGATAAATTCCATTATTTCAGGACTTCAATTACAAATAGTTGAAAATGAATGGCCAATAATCCCTAAATCATTAAAATAAATACTGATTCCAACACTTTCTCTAGCCTTAGCCATTCATTTCAGGATTTTATAATCAGTAATCTTGCTACAAGACTGTGATGAATTAAAAAGTGGCTGCTGGGTTGACTGCATTGTAGGGTAGTAAAGTCCATTATTTTGAAAGCTGTCTACTTCCTACTGTAAATGCATGGCCAGTGTTTGTTGCTAGTGATTTCAAAATGGCATTCTAGGAAACTCAAGTGGCCCCAGCTACGCTAGGATTTACTATACTGTAAGTTAGCAAAGATTTCTGGGAACTCAGGGTTTATTCACATTTCTTTGATTTCTCTGTTGGCCTGTTCTCACTACCAGGGTGGGGCAGTCCACCAAAAAAACAGTGTGATCCAAAGGGCACTTGAAATGTGTCTAGATTTTTCCTTAATAATTTCCTATTTGTCTGGATGGTGACAGTAATTTTATCACTAGAGATTAATTTTTAAGGCCACTAGGTCTCATGTAGTATATTTTTATTAAAATGCAAATAGCTAATGGGAAGATTATGGCCTGAGATGGCTTTAGTAGTTAACACTTAATTGGAGGATTCCTTTATCAGATTATTTCTTACCTTTTGCACATGGTTGAGAGCAAAAACCTGTGGACCCAGAGTG